TGGCTTGAGTGTTGTGGGGATCGAACTACAGCAAACTGAGGCTGCCAGCATTGTGGAAGCAGCCACTTAAAGAACTGAGCTAGGGCTGGGCCCCCATGGGCATTTTCACTATATTGGTTCTTTCTACCCAAGAGCAATGTGTGTCTTTCAACTTTCTGGTATCTTCTTCAGTTTCCTTTTTTCGGAGTACTATATATAGTTTTCAAAAGAGGTCTTTTACATTCTTCATTTGATTGATTCCTAGTTTTTTTTTTTTTTTTTTTTGTATGCAATCATAAAGTGTTGTTTCCCTAATTTCTCTCAGTGAATGTTACTCATGTACAGGATGGCTACTGACTTTTTTGTTTTGTCCAGCTCAGCCCGCCCTGTGGGGCTGGTGTGGCATGTGGTACCATAAATTGAACCATGGTCCCGTGCCTAAGATTGCCTACCTAAGCAGGTGCTTTAGACTGCTGAGCTATCTCACTGGCCCTGGCTATTGATTTTTGAATGTTGACTCTGAATCCAACTATGCTACTGAATTTGCTTATTAATTCTAACCTTTTTTTTTGCGTGTGTGTATTTGTGTGTGTAGGTTTTGGGGTCTTCTTTGTAGAGTATCATGTCATATACAAATAATAATTTAACTTCTTACTTTCCTGTAATTATTCCTTGTACTTGTCTAATTGCTCTGACTTAAGTTTCCAGAACTATATTGAATAACAGTGCAACAGTGACATCCTTGTCTTGTTCCTGATTTTAGAGTAAAAACTTTCTGCTTTTATGCATTTTGTATGATGTTAGTTGCTGGTTTATCATAGATGGCTTTCATCAGATTTAGAGAAAGACCATCTATTCCAATTTTCTGTAGGGTTTTTATCATGAATGGGTACTGGACTGTCAAAAGCTTTTCTGCATCTATTGAGATGATCATATGGTTTTTGTCCTTTGTTGTAAATATGGTGTATACATTTATTGATTTGGGAATGTTGAACCATCCTTGCATTCCTGAGATGAATCCCCCTTGGTCATGCTGTAGAATATTCTTGATTTGCTGCATTCTGTTTGGTAATATCTTACTGAAGATTTTTGCGTCTGTGTTTATTAGGGAGATTGGCCTGAAATTTGCTTAATTGGGCCCTTCTCTGGTTTTGATATCAAGAGCAATACTTGTTTTCAGGAATGAATTTGAGAGTATTGCTTTCCTTTCAAATTCACTGAAGCACTTGAGAAATAGTGGTGTTAGATCTTCTCTACATTTCTTGTAGAAGTCAGAAGTAAATCCATCAGGAGCCGGGGAGATGGCTCAGTGGAATAAACACTT